GCACTCTGCAAACCTTCCCAAAACAGCCCATTTTTTTCAAAAAAAAGGGGGGCATGAATAGCCTTTAGGAGGCTTGTAGAGTGCTCCGGGGGGGGGGGCAAAAACGAGCAAAAAATGGTCCGTTTTTTTGTGAAAACAGGCCCCTTTTTTGCTAAAAAAAAGGGGTGGCATGGATAGCACTCTATAAGCTTTAGGAAGCTTATAGAGTGCTCTGGAGGGGAGTAAAATTGAGCAAAAAAAAACCAGTCCAATTTTTGCTCATTTCTGCCCTTTCCAGCCCCAAGAAGCTCTCTGAAAGTTTCCTACAAGCTGTGCACGGCCATTTTGAAGGGGACGGGGTTTCAGGAGGCAAAAAAATGCTGTATTCAGTGTATAAGACACACAGCCTCTTTTCTGAGAGGAAAAAGGTGCGTCTTATACTCTGAAAAATACGGTAAATCTTCATCTTAAGCTTTACACATCTGTAGCATATATACTGTACTGATTAAAGGCAACCCAAGTCAAAATATTGGTTAAAGCTAATTCGAGCAGAGGAACCTACCTCCCCCAAATATCACATACTGTAGTCCCTATATATCCTATGCATTCTTCTCAAGTACTGTATCTCTTCCCACTCTACCTATTTTCAGAGCACTGATCCCATTCCCTAGACTACACCTCTCTTCTTTCTGACCAGTAATTGCCTAGAGAAATTAACTTTTCCAAAGTTTATTCTTGACATGTATTTTACAAAAAATGTTATCTATATAAAGGTTATTTTAAACCACATGGGATGAGGAAACTAATTGAAGAGACAGTTCATGTTTGCAAAGGGTAAACGTCTCCTAAGGTTCTCTCTGCCCCACCTTGTCAGACTTAAAAACAATGTCATTTAATATCAATATAAAAATAAAGCCTCATTACTTCTAGATAGAAAATGAAGTCTAAGCGGGGCTGTTGACGTCTTGATTGAGGTCCAGCCCCGCTTAGACTGGGCGCATGTTGTGTTTCTTTTTAATCTGCTGTGTTTTATTTGTTTTTAATCTTTTCTTAATATTTCTGTTTCTGTAAGCCGCCCGGAGTCCTTCAGGATTGGGCGGCCTATAAATTTAATAAATAGAATAGAATAGAATAGAATTAAAATGTATTTGTGATGTCTGAAGGAAATGTTATTCATTGATTGATTGATTCATTCATTCATTTATGTAGATTTAAAAAGTACAATGACATTAAAATTAAAAAATATTCAGCCAAAATAGATGATCACTTCTTGCCTTAAATAATTTGGGCCTAAATAACTTTAAATATTCCCTTTGGGAGGATCAGTCTGCCTGCTTTTTAAGACCAGGAATAGAGTATCTTTTTACCTTTATGCAGTTATGTTCAACTAACAGAGAAGGCCTTTTCCCTGGTGGTCCCAGAAATAAAAAAAAATGAATTGCCATCAAAGACAGCTTTTTAAAAAGCCCTAAAGATGTGTTGTAAGCATTCCAATGAATAGAATGCTTTGTTGTACTGAAGTATTACTGAATTTTTATAGATAATTAAATAAGAGCATTCTGTATGTGAATTATCTTTTGCAAGTTATCCAGTAGCATTAATTCTTCAGCATCATATAACATACTGGGTTTTTCTGTGTACTCTATAACACTCTTCCTGCTCCCTGACAAAGTTCTTGCTAATCTCAGATCACTTCCTTTTTTCCTTTCTTCCAAAACATGCATGTGGAAGGCACAGGCTATTTTATTCTCTTTGTGGTAGGATGTAGTCCACAAGCTGCTAGAGTTTACCTGTCTGTTTAATGTACATCTTATAAATAAATCTCCTTTCGGTTAAAGTTGTCAAACATGCTTCACTATCAATGATCACATCGATTCTATGTTCTTAGGAATGTTCAGATACAAAGCAGATACTTCAACATCAACCAATCACAATTTTAGCCCCAAAGAAATTGTGTATTAGGTAGAAAGCTTGACAAGTATTTGTCAATGTGAATATATATGAGTATATAAGTATATATGAAAGACTACAGAGAACAGAAAAGATTCAAATATATAAGTCGAGCAAGAATTAGACTTCAAAATGAGTTGTCATTTTCAAAGGGAGAAAAACCCCTACTTTTTTTCCTCCATGTAAAAACATTTTGCAGTAGACAAGCTTTGTAAGCCCCAAAATTAAAGTAAGTTGATCCCAGGATTGTTAGGAATAGACCTCACTGACAAGCAAATCCAACTCAATCCTTTCAGAATTTGAAAGAGGATTTTCAAAGCTGATGTTTCAGTCCAATGCTTATATCTACTGCAAAGCTCTCTAAAGCTTTGTCTCTCATAAAAACCATTATTAGCATATCACTCACTTTGGTCAATGCATAGAAATTCCAGAGTTGCCTTAAACATCAGTTAAGCTATGTATGAATTCTTCAAATGAAGTTTAATGAAGGCATGAGATACTGCTGTACAGCCAAAACCTCCTTGCTTGTCTGTTTCTTCAGTCACGTAAATATATTCCTTTTTAATGTTTTGCTTTTACTATCCAGGGAAGAATACAAATTGAAAATGGAGCTTTGACTATAACAAACTTAAACTTGACAGATTCTGGCATGTATCAGTGTATAGCAGAGAACAAACATGGTACAATATATTCCAGTGCCAATCTCCGAGTTGTAGGTAAGTCACAACTTTGCTTTCTGTGTTGTTGTTATTCACCAGATATTTTTCCTCCTGCTGCAGTAGCTGTCATGTTTTCCTACGCCATCTTGAAAATTTAGCAAAAATGCTTTCACAGCACTCAATTTATCAGCATTTCTGTGTAATTTTCTCAACAGTATCTGAGGGATGTGGTGGAGGATAAAAAAGCTCACTATATTTTATAGCTCAATCTTTCACTGATTTAAAACAAGGACACCAAGATAAATTATTAATGATGGGAAGAAGAGACACAAAGCTTGGATACCAGCCCAGTGATTAAAACTAATCACACAATTGAGAAGCAACATTGGCTCAGCATATTACTGACCTTCTGCATTGTAGCTTTGGTATTCTTGAGAATGCAGTGTCATTTGAAAATGACTGATAAGTTTCTCTGACTTTTTTCTTGATAATATGAGTGTAAGGACCCATTCTTAGTTATGAAGGTGATATAGATAGTTCCCTACTTACAACACTTTATGACTGTGTGAAGTTACAGCAGCACTGATAAAAGTGACCTATGACCATTTATCACCATTGCAGTAGTCCTGTGGTCACGTAATTTGGGCAGTTAGCAACTGATTCACATTTATGATGGTTACAGTGTTCCAGAATTATGTGACCTCCTTTTGCGAACTTCTGACAAGCAAAGTCAATGGGGAAATCAGATTCACTTAACAACCACGTTACTAAGAACTTCAGTGATTCATTTAACAACTTTGGCAAGAAAGATTGTAAACTGGGGCAAAACTCACTTAACAACTATCTCTCAGCAACAAAAAATTTGGGTTCCATTGTGGCCGTAAGTCAAGAATTAACCTAGTTTGCTTTTAGAAGGTTTTATCCTCATGCACAGGTAAATTGGCAGAGGTTTTGCTATGTTCAAACAGTAACCAACTTTGCATCTTAGTAACTAGTTTGAATTTTTTATATTGTTTCTTAAATCTGTTTAGGAGTCATATTGTGTATCCTTTGAGTTAAGGAGTCATAGTGGTCTCTTTGGTACTGTGTAAGTGAGAGGGACAAATGCACCATTCATGCATTTTTATTTCTTTCCATTCCTTGGTGAATTGCCTTGATCTGCTCCCATATACATAACTGCTTATGTGATCAGCAGAATCGGGCATATACGATAATAGTGAAATAATAGTGTTAAGGTAGTTGAAAGGATATAAGTGCAAATCTGAACAAAGCTATTAATTAGACCATTGATTGTGCAGTTATCAGTTTTGATGCCCAAATTAATGTCTGACAATTTAACTCATAATATAATTTATACAGATCATTTAAATCTAGATTGGTCAGTGAAACTGATTTTTGAATGAAATTAAGGAGTAATCTGTCTTTGTCCAATCTGGTGCCCAGTGATCATTCTTCTACCATGTTAATCTTCAAACATCTTCTTCCAGGAGTTTGTTCATTTGTAATCCGGATACCTGAATTTTAAATTTAAGATTCTCTTTGTTTAGCAGAAAGACAGACTAAAATGTATCTAACAAAACTGGAAAAAAATCTCCTGAAAAAGTCTTCAACAGTAATATTATTTTGAAATAGACGAATAAAAGAAAACTCTTAAGTCATTGAATGAGTATAGCAGCAACATACAGTAGGCTTAATTAATTTTTATGTAGCTAAATGCAACTTCTATTTATTTATTTGTTTTATTTACATTCTTGAACTCAACATCTTCTTCTAGGAGTTTGTTCATTTGTAATCCGGATACCTGAATTTTAATTTTGACATTTTATTTTAAAAAATTACATTTATTTATTGCAAGCTCTAGAGAACTTTATGATCTATATTAGCATAGAAACACCATTGGCAGGTAGGTAGGTAGGTAGGGAGACAGACAGACAGACAGACAGACAGACAGACTGACTGACTGACTGACTGACTGACTGACTGACTGACTGACACAGAGTGAATATATTCAGAAAGGTTCTTGACGCTCTCTGAGCTTGCTTATATTCTTGCAAGCAAACAGACCAATCTGTCCAGCTAAAATTATAATGTTCCAGAGCCATTAATTCTTGCTGAACTTCGTGTGATTCAAGTAGACGTCTTGTTGGAAGAAAATCAATTTCACTCTACTCCACATCCCCATTCTATAATATAAAGTCTTACAGTAGCCAGTGAAGCCAGTTAACTGGCAGAGCCTTCCCAATTGTGGCTGATCTCAGAGTAGAATTGGACCTAGTTAATGAAAGTAAGTAGCAGAACTTTGGCTAAACTGGGAAATTTCCTTCCCAGAAAGAAATACTTGAATGTCTCAATGAAAGTACCTATAGTCAAGCTCAACCTGAAGGACATTTGTCAGTGAAAATATATTTACTTGTTTTTTTGCATTTTTGCTAACATTATCCCCCATAGTCCTTTGAATATTTTAAACAGAACATAAGGAAAGAAAAACATAATTTATCTTCTCTTTCTCTCCCTTAAATCTTCCATCTTCTCCCTGTCTCCTTCCCCAAAGTCAAAGGTATCACCAAGCAGTCTCCTGACCGAGACTGAGTAGTATCTTGCTACTCTTTTTCTATCTCCAGGACAGTCTTCACAATAAATAATTAAACTGTAATTTTGTTATAGTTCTTGAAAAATCAATTTATGGAAGAGCTCTAATCTAATCTTACATCTGTTCTTCCCCTGTATATTTTCTGAAAATCTGTTTCCAAACATAGCAAAACAGCTTTGTTATATAGAAAATGCGGTAATGAGAAAAGGTGGCAATGCTTCATCATTAGCACCATTAATAACTTAGTAATATCGTCTTGAAATAAACCCCTGCAATTGAAACCTGAACTCTGACTTAAGTTTGATTCAACTTAGTTAATGCCTTTTTCCTGACTACTTTTGAAACGAGTGCCAAATCACTCTAGGATATTTCTCTCCATCTTCCTATGTCAAAACAGGGTTCATTGGCTTATTTATTGGGTGAGGGGTAGCAGTGTTTTCACAAAATGGTGGTTGCACTTTTAAATGCCTACCATGGGACAAAATGGCTGGTAGAGTGGTCATGACCAGTCACAAAATGCTTATTTACCATAAGGTAAAATAGTTTCTCAAGATACTTTGTATCTCATCAGGATTTTCATCGAATACAAAGACATTACTGCAAATAAATATGATGTGAGATGTCTTTGCTTTCTTTTACAGCATGCCAGCAACTTGCATTTATAAAAATAAAGTTGAGCAGAGGGACTCACTGAAAGCAAAGGAAGTGTCTGGGGCCTATTGTTACCACTAAATGCAATGTTTTAATATCATATTGTACTAAATATTGTGAATTCAGCCAGGCAAATGGGTATCAAGTCAATACCGATCGTTGGAATGTCACAGCAAGGGAGAAACTGCCCACTGTAAAATGACAAATGTCTCAAAATGTAGGTCTTTGGAGTCTTCTCCAACCGGTGAACTGAAAGTAAAGCCTTTGCTTAATCCCATTTTAATTCAGTGGCATTTTAATGTACAATTTCTGTTTCAGTGCTATTTTGGCTGAACTAGAATGGGAATTTCATATTCTTCAATGGTTAATGAAAAAGAAAAAAAGTAACATGAATTGTGTAACTCACTGAGGACATGCTGGAGAAGTTGTGTTTCATAGTTAATGTGTTTCTTCTGCTGCTAGCTTCTGCTCCTGACTTTTCTAAAAGCCCAGTGAAGAAATTGATTCAGCTTCTAAAGGGCAGCACAGCTCATTTTGAGTGCAAGCCAAAAGCTTCCCCTAAAGCGACAACTATTTGGAAAAAGGGAGGTGAGCTGCTCCAAGAAAATGAAAGGTATTATGTTGTGAATGTCTTCCTGTTATAATTTAAATATTGTCATATTTTAAAAGAAAGAACAACACTAATTTAAGCTAGGTGGCAAATGTGCTGAGTAAGTAATCCAATTTCTATACTGTATATACCCTGTTTCTCTGAAAATAAGGCCTCCCTGGATAATAAGCCCAATCGGGCTTTTGAGCACATGAGCTAAAATAAGCTCTTTCCAAAAAATAAGCCCACCCTGGAAGTATTGCAACACAGCAACAGCTATGGAATGACCACGCTTGCCGCCTCCTACACCTCAAAAATAATAAGACTTCCCCAAAAGTAAGACCAAGCGCTTAATTCAGGGGACAAAAGAAAATGAGACCCTGTTTTATTTTGGGGAGAACATGGTAGTACACATGAAAGAGGAGGTTTCTACTCACTAAGAACAATATGCCACATAAAAGTATCTTGAGTGAAATCTTTTCCCAGGTGCTTATTCGAAATTGTGTTGGGACTATTCATGACGGACTTTAGGGGAAAAAATTACCACCTTTGGTCTTTACAAACTTCTAAACAAATGGCTTGGATTTGGCTTTAGAATTGCCACATCAATTTTCACACCTACTCTACAGAAACTGAGCTACCTGCGTTGTTATGAATGAAAGTTAGGTTTTGGTTGATAAACATAACTATGAAAGTATTTTACCACTGTCTTTAGCACTATATTAGCATGTGTGATGCACTTCATTTTGTATTTACTTCTTCCATGCCAGTGTTCCTTTTTGTGGTTGTGCTTCCCAGCATGTTAATTCTGTTTGAGAGTTCTGAAAGAACCTCTTATGCAGGTGCTGTGAATAATGGATTTGGAGCCGTAAAAGGAGCAAAGATGCAACTATTGTTTTTGAAACAATTCAGAAAATTAAGACTTTCATACCCATCTTTTACATACTTGTTCATCTGTCCAATTATAAGCACTGCTTAATTCACATTCTTTGTGGGTGTGGAGGCATTGGGATGGGATAGAAATGTCAATATACAAAGCCTATGAATGGCAAGTACCTGTAAGTATGTCTGGAAGAGGAGTTAGAAGAGAAAAAGGTTTACATATTCTTGATAGGGACATTCAACAATGACTCTGCCATCAGTGCTTAATGCTAAGGTTTACTGTAAATTCCAATTGGCATTTAACTGATATAAACTCAATTTATTAGAACAGAGAGAAAAGGAAGTCAGCATTCTGATATTAATGCCGTCTTTCTTATTATCTCATCCTTAATAAACTGAGTAAGTTGATCTATTCATCCATCCATCCATCCATCCATCCATCCATCCATCCATCCAGAGATAGAGAAGGGTGTGGGTGGGAGACAAAGGGTGAAAGGGAGAGAGGGAGAGTGATAGCTAATACAATCCAGAATAATATAATGAAGTAGAATAATGGGAGATTCAAGGCAGATATTTTATATAGTACAGTATGTAATAAATTATACAAAAGTCATTTCTACAGGTTATACCAATGACTATCAACTTGAAGGATTTTAGAAACTTTGATAACATCTTTTCAGGTAATGTTATCAATGGCTATTAATCATGATGGCATTTAATTATTTCTAGGATCAGAAGCACATTCTTCTCAGTATCAATTGATGGGAAAACTCACGAAGAGAAAGCTGCTGTTCTCAATCTTTCTTATGGAAAGATGGATCAGTATAAAAGAGAATGTGGTGAATTAAACTGATTTTTAAAATCTAAATAATGATATATATTTTATAAGGAAAGACTAGCTAATGATACAAAAGAAAATATACTGAAAATCAAATCTAGTAGATTTCCGAAGCATTCTTAGAATGACAGGATAGAATTACAGATGATTGCTGATGATGATATCTGTTCTATCAGATCCAATTCTCAACAATTTTTTGGATCATCTCCAAATTTTTCAATCATATGGAGGAGTTGTTCTCTGTTGTTTTATGCTTTGTCTGATGTCAGTTTTGATGGTGTCTGGTTTGGGTGACCTTGTTTCCTTTTAGTGCTGGTCACTCAGAGCATAATTGCCTTTTCCTATGATTGCATAAGATGGCTGAAATAAGGTAGAATTTTGTGATTTTGTCTTCTAGCAATCTGGTTTTATATGCTCCATCCCTTGCTTGGTTTTCACCTTTGTTATTCAAGGAATGTGCAGAAGGCTTCTGTAATACTACAGGTCAAATATGTCAATTTTTCTCCTGTCTAGTTTTTCTGACTTTCTCAGAACTGTAGGAAATATGATAGTGCAGACTAATCTGCACTTCCTTGCCAGATTGGTGGTCTTGCTTTTCTATACTCAATTCATGCTTATCATTGCTGTGTGATCCAGTGCAATTCAACACTTTTATTTCTGGACTGTGATTACTGTATTGATCAATTTGTGCTCCTAGGAAAGTGAATTCTTGTGTGCATTCGATCTCTTCACTGTCAAGTGAACACCATTATTATTTTGACATTTTCATTCAGAAACTTGCATCATCAGCATACCAAAGACTGATGATATTCCTTCTTTCAATCTTTATTCTTATTTTTAATTCTTCAAATTGCAGCTTCCTGACAATCTCTTCAGTTTACAGATTAACAGAGTTGGAAGGGACCTTATAGATCCTTTCACTCATACAGACACTACACCAGTTTTGACAGATGGAAGTTCAGTCTCTTTTTGAAAGCTTCCAGTGATGAAGTTCCCATGTCTGAAGACAAGCTGTTCCATTGGTTGATTGCTCTCATTGTCAGAACATTTCTCCTTATTTCCAGATTGAACCTATCCTTGTTCAGTTTTCATCCGTTATTCCTTGCCTGGTCTTCAGGTGCTTTGGAAAATAGCTTGACTTCCTCCTATCTGTGGCAGCCTCTCAAATATTGGAACATTGATATCATGTCTCCCCTGGTCCTTCACTAGACTGCCCATGCCCAGTTCCTGCAACCGTTCATCGCTTGTTTTAGTCTCCAGTCCCCTAATCATCTTGGTTGCTCTTCTCTGTACTCTTTATAGAGTCTCAACATCTTTTTTATAGTGTGGCAACCAAAACTGGATGTATTACTCTAGGTATGGTCTTACTAAGTCTTTATAGAGTAGTATTAGTATCTCACTTGATCTTGATTGCATCCCTCTGTTAATGCAATTTAGGATTGCATTGGTTTTTTTAGCTGCCACCATACACTGTTGGCTCATATTTAATTGGTTGTTCACTAAGACTCTAAGATCCCTATTACAGTTACTGCTATTAAGCCTACTTTCACCCAGTCTATATGTGTACTTTTGGTTTTTCTAGCCTAAGTGTAAGACTTTACTTTTCTCTACATTGAATTTCATTTGGTTAGATAGGGCCCAGTGTTCAAGTCTGTCAAGAGGCCTTTGGATTTTAAGATTGTCATCTAGGGTGTTGGCTATTCCTGCCAGTTTAGTATCATCTGCAAATTTGGTAAGTTCTCCTTCTATTTCCTCATCTAAGTTGTTTATGAAGATATTCAAGAGTACTGAGCCTAAGACGGAACCTTGTGGTACCACACTGCTTACTTCCCTCCATGTAGATATAGTACCATTAAGAACTACTCACTGAGTACAGGATGTCAGCGAGTTACAATTCCATCTGATGGTGATGCTATCTATGCCACATTTTTCTAGCTTAACAAGAAGTACCATATTTTTCAGAGTATAACAGGCCGTTTTTCATAAAAAATGAGCCTTTTTTGCCTTCCCTCAGCCCCCAGCAGCACTTCTGCCTTCCCTCAGCCCCCAGCAGCACTTCCCTCAGCCCCCAGCAGGACTAGGGCAAGGCAAAAATGCCCCTGTTTTTTTCACAAAAACTGCAGCATTTTTGCCTTGCCCCAGCCCTGCTGAAGCTTGAAGAGTGCTGCTGGGGGCTGAGGGAAGGCAAAAAAAAATTTTTTCTCACCTCTTTGAAATCTTGGTGCGTCTGGTGCGTCTTATGCACTGATGTGTCTCATAGTCCAAAAAATACGGTAGGTTGTGGTCTACTTTGTTGAATGCCTTGCTGAAGTCTAAGTATATTATGTCCACTAATTTAGTCATTATGCTGAAAAATGAAATAAGATTGGTTTGGATTGATCTGTTTTTAACAAACCCATGCTGACTTCTAGTCATTATTTTACTCATTTCTAGATGCTGGCAGGCCTGCTTTTTTTTGTTGTTGTTGTTGTTATACTTTCCAGTATCTTTCCGGGTATTGTTGTTAGGCTGATTGGTCTGTAGTTTCCTGGGTCTGGCTTTTTCCCCCTTTCCCTCTTTTTGAAGATGGTAATCAGCTCTTTTCCAGTCCTATGGTAGTTCCCTGGTGTTCCAGGATTTTTGGAAGATGTAGTGCAGTGGTTTGGAGATGACATCTGCCAGCTCCTTTAGAACTATGGGAATTAATTCATCAGGTCAAGGTGGCGCAGTGGTTAGGGTGCAATACTGCAGGCCACTTCAGCTGACTGTTATCTGCAGTTCAGCGGTTCTAATTTCACCGGCTGAAGGTTGACTCAGCCTTCCATCCTTCCGAGGTGGGTGAAATGAGGACCCAGACTGTGGGGGCGATATGCTGACTCTGTAAACCGCTTAGAGAGGGCTGAAAGCCCTATGAAGCGGTATAACTGCTATTGCTATAGGTCCCTGTGATTTGTATTCATCTAGATCAGACAGGTTTTCTCTTATCTTTTTTTTTTCTTATTTTAACTTTTATTTCTAGTCTGTCTTTTGCAGTTATGTTTTTGGTAGGTCGGACTATTGTTTCTTTTTGCATGAAGGCCGATGCAAAGAATGAGTTAATACATACATGAATGAAATGAAAGATGAAAGATATATTTTGTATTCAATAGAGATGTTGTAGATGTTCTTTTGATATTCTTGAGATTTTTCTATAATTCAGTGGGAATTTGCAATATGGTTACAAGTACCCTGACTCCTTCTGAAGACAGTTTGAACTTTGAATAACTCTCAGCAAACATTATTGTATGATTTTAAGAAAAATCTTGCCAGTATGAGGAATGAGGGC